CATCCCTATATGGGATCCGAACCCCGGGGCCTTGGTGTTATCAGCACCGCACTCTCCCGAGCGAGCCACGGGCCGGCCCTGAGCAAACTCTTTAGGGAAAGTAAATAAAAGTAGATGAAAGATGAAACTTATTTTTTTAAACATTTTTATTTAAGCAGAAATCCCATTAAAATCATTACAAATATAACCTACATCGCAATGATAAATAAGNGGTGTCATCAGAAGGGCTGGAGCCAGAGGATTTGTGGGCAAGAACTGATGTGATTGGTTGTTCTCGGTATTGAAAACAGGAGGGACTTGAAAAACTGGAGGGTGGACTATCACTTAATCAATTGGGGATAATGCAATCAGTACCAGCCCAATCCCATCAAAATCCATCCAACCTGATCCGTTTCCTGAGTCACCTTCCATCCTGCAGGGATTGCATAGTAGTGATATTCACTTTGTGACACCCAGTTCATTCATTCTATGAAAGTTATTTTCTCTGTGGGTTTTGAGTATTGTCACATAGGATAAAAACTGATTGCTAAAGTGAATTTTGGGGGTTATGTTACCCATCAATAATGAACTCCTGAGCGAAGGCAAACAGGGAAATGCACAAGACATCCGTATTTGTTTTTGTGTTGCTATAACATAATCCCCGAGACTGGATAATTTATAAAGAAAAGAGGTTTGCTTGGCTCAGAATTCTGTATACTGCAAAGTCAGATGCAACTTCCTCTGACATCTGACGAGGGCCTCAAGCTGCTTCCACTCAGGGAGGGAAGCGGAAGACCAGCTGGCAGGTGTGAGAGATGACACGGCCACAGAGGAGAGGAGGGAGGGAGGTGCCAGGCTGTTTTTAACACTCAGCTCTCCGGAGAACTGATAGAGGCAGAGCTCACTCATCCCCGAGGGAGGACACTAACGTGCATGAGGGATTCGGCCCCATGACTCAAAAACTTCCCACTCGACCCCACCTCACAACACTGCCCAACTGTGAATCTAATTGCCATGAGCTTTAAAGTGGAAATCACGTTCAAACTGTAGCACATCCTGACACGTTTACTGTTTTTGATTTCTGTCTAATTGTTCAAACAGGTCAGCTCTGGCTTCCTACCCTAAGAGCAACCAAGAAAGACTCTTTAGAAGTACCTTGTTGTGACATTTGAAAAATAGTGGGGAAAGTTGGAGAATGATCTGAGTGAAGTCATAATTAAATTTCTGAATATGCCTTTGTGAGTGTGTGTGTGTACGTGTGTGTTTGTGTGTGTGTGTGTTTGTCTCTGTGTTACAGGGCAGGGTGGACTGTTTCCTCCTGTGACGTGGAGAATACTCCATTGCCTTGGAAAAGTCCACCCCTGACCACTCACTGTGCGCTGTGCCATATGTGGCTTTTTCCAGCCATGCCCAATAGAAATAGAATATGTGCCATAAAANTGTGTGTGTGTGTGTTTGTCTCTGTGTTACAGGGCAGGGTGGACTGTTTCCTCCTGTGACGTGGAGAATACTCCATTGCCTTGGGAAAGTCCACCCCTGACCACTCACTGTGGGCTGTGCCATATGTGGCTTTTTCCAGCCATGCCCAATAGAAATAGAATATGTGCCATAAAAATGTATATTTTGGGGGTGGCTGGTTTGCTCAGTTGGTTAGAACGTGGTGCTGATAACACCAAGGTCCAGAGTTAAAAACCTATACCAGCCAGCCACCAAAACAGAAAAATAAGCATATTTTTGAGCAAACTTTTTTTTTTTTTTTTTTTTTTAAAGATGACCGGTAAGGGGATCTTAACCCTTGACT